CGGCGGCGGCGACGCGCCCCAGTGGTCAGGTGTCTGTGGTGGCGCATGAGGCAACGCGCGCCGGCGCCGGTCGTGCGTGCCTGCTCTGCGTCGGCGTGTGGCGCCGGCACGTCACCTCGTCGCCCCACTTGAGGCTGTCGCCGCGCCGCTCCTTCAGCCGGTTGAACTGGCTGATGAACTGCTCGATGCCGTGGCGCTGCACTGCGCCGCCAGCGCCTTGGTCTCCGGCCAGGAGAGCGGCGAGCCTTCCGAGAGAAGTCCCATCTCGAGCGACGGCCGACGCCAGCCGGCAGACTGTCCACCGCCGCACACCGGCACACCTGGCGAAACGGAGGGCACCAGCTAGGACACGGCACACTGGCGAACGGCAATACCAGAGCTCCAGACAGTGCGCCCGTTATCTAGCGCAGGCAAATGCTACGATCGACTCAAGCACCCACCCCTTGCCCAGTCACAGTGACTTGGATGTTATCTGTGCAGAAACACATATTAGGATGACTGGCAGAAAAATGCACGTCATCCCAGTACCTAATCGCGATCACGCGAACTGCCAAGTCACGATGGTACACAATTGTTTTGAGGTGTGGTTAAGCATTGGTGCCACGACACGGGTGGGAGTGTGGGGGGGGGGGGGGGAGAGAGACTGACTCAGAAGTGAAGCCTCCTATTCAGTGAGGGGTTCAGCCTTCACTTTGAGACACCAGTGGATCAAATCAAGGACAAACTATCTTTAGTTGTTTACAAGGGGTTCACATAACTTTTCATTGCTCAACCCTGAGACTCATTCTACTTGATTTTAAGGAACAAAAAAAGAACACTGAGGATTTATCACATTGCATAATGGGGAGTGCCTCTTAACTATGTTTGTTCAAAAAGTTACCAACAGATCTTCAATTTCGTTTTTGAATGTGTTTCTCACATTAAGTTCAGTGCTTTATCATGAAGAAGTTTCAGCTTAGATACCTTAAAGTGTCTTATGCCTGAAAACAATCTCCATAGTATTACACAAAACTTCAGCTTTTTGGCTCTACTTCGATCACAAGTTGACTGATTACAAATTTCTCCCATAAAATGATGAAAGCCTCACCTGGACATTTCACAATGCATAATTTGTACTGTGAGTAAGTGGAGCAAGCAGTATTATCACGGTATGAACTTAATTTAACACGCGCTCGGGTGGGGGGATGAAATTGACTCCCCCCCCCCCCCCAAAGGTTTTCCAGAATGGTTTCCGAACGGCGCTGTGTAGCCGCGCCAAATTTTGCACAGCTGTAGACAATTGAATAGTGGATCGTTTGGCGTCAAACATTTGGATGTAGCTTGTAAGGTCGCTGACCTATGGCAGGTCAAAGTCGGGCCATGGTTTCAGCGAAGGCAATTTCTAGGGACTCCTTCAATTTGATCCAACAATGGAGAGTTAGATGAAGCCACACCTCTCTGAGATGCTTTCTTAGGCAACACAACAGTTGAATGAGCAAATTGTATTCATCTAAGGTCATGTATGAAGGTCACAGTTGGTTTTCACCAAGGTGAAAACCAACCTGTTTTGTTACTCTTGGGCTTGCTGTGTGGGATAGTTTATGGTGCTCATTTCCTGTTTACTGAAAACAGGGACCACATTATACATCTTCCATGGACTTCTCAAAGGCCAGAATAGTCACTGGCCCAAAATGATGTCAGCTAACATTTTGTTTCAGGACATACTGCCTAGTGTAATCTGTGTTGCTTAGTCAAATGCTAAACCCAAAGCAACCTTGTATGATTTTGGTCACCTTGACCCTCAAAAGGTCAAAAAAGGTTACTGACCTTGAATGAGAATTTGACATTTTGCTTAGAAACAGTTATCTAGTTTCTGGGGGCACTTTATAAACAAACCTGGAACTTGAACCTGTTTGATCTTTTTTGACCCAAAGGTCATGACCTAAGAAACTGAAACTTTCACCTAAGTAAGTTCACATACAGGGCAACACACCCTGTAAATTTCATGTCTCTAGCTTTCTTGGTTCTCAAGATCTCAGGGGGTCAAATTGACCCCCCACACCGGTGTGAAGGGTATCTGGCCGGCCACCTGTACGGGTGTTAAGGCACCAAACTGCATTCAGGCATGCAGGTTATACAGGCATGAACATGTAGATGACTCTCCAAAGGCTTGTCATTTTTGCTTCCCAAACTTATTTGGGCACGACCTAGACTAGATTTTTGAGCAGTTACAGAATTTACCTGGAGTTACTCAACATACCCAAACCACATTTTCATAACCTAACAGCAAAATCACCTACATAAAATTGGTTCTTCTTTCCCAAAATGACTTTTAAAAATGATCCATTCAATAAGTTTTCAGTTCAGCCAAAACAAGTTTTATCATTGTATCCAGTGTGCTTGGAATTAGGACTCATGAAAATGTTATGTCCCTCAGTCAACCTTAGGCTAGGTTAAGTCACGATGAGTTAGCTCATAATCAATAAGGTTTGTTGCACACCAAAAAGTTTGTGTAGCTTATTCATGTGGCATCTATCCTATTAATACTACAATGACTTACAACACATGTGGTTAACCATCCATTCATATTATTATTAACTTGAGTGACACATGGTGCGGGATGTGAATGGTTTTCTAAATGTAGTACTCCTTTTATAAGGCAGCATGCAATATCAAAGAGAAACCACCTCCATGTCAATGTGCAGGCATGGTGAACATATCCCTTTCAATGCAAAAGCCATGAAGTTCACTTCCCTTGATAATGACCAAAGGTGTATCACTATCTGAGTTATGACTACAAATTTTCAAGGTGAGCAGGCTTTTTCTTGGGTCTTACTGACCATGAATCCTGAGGCAAAACTTGTGATGCAGGACTTATGATACATGATATAAATCATGACACACAATTCATAGCACAATTTTTATTTTCAAACCACCATACAATCACACTAGGCAGTGGTGAGTTGGTAAGCCAATGCTGCCTCCTAGTCCAAAACAACCAACCTTATATTTTAGCACTCTCTCTTTCATTTATGTCATCCTACGCTCGTATAATTGATCATGTTCATAGCGAGTGACGCAAGCCACATGCACGCACTGACGGTGTACATCTACAACACAACTTACTGACGCAACGACCACGGTGTCACGTGGATGTGTTGACTGGTCCAAAACAAACACAAATGACCAAAACAACAGCACAATCAGCCCTCACCTCCTGCACCACGCCCAGTTATGCAGCCCTGTACCACAGCAACGCCGGCACTGCAGCTCCGCAACGCGCGTGACACTCTCCGCGATTGCTCTGCTCCGGAATGAGCGAGACAGAGCGGAGGAAATTTTCTGCGCTTCTTCTCCAAGTTTTTGATCGAAGGAAGAACACACGGCATCTTGGTAGCAAACCATAGTGAATTTAAGTGGTGAATGTTTGCTTATATTCGCTTGTACAAGCAGTTATCTCCCAGTGCTGTTGCTGCTGGAACAGAACTGGCCTGTTTAGATGTAAATGGCGCGGGGCTGACAAAATATGCCGGGTTTGCATGTCCAACCAACGCCTCGTGTATTTTCAGCGGTATGCATCACATTGGGTTCTAGCAAGTTTGACTAAGGCCCCACTAGTTCAGGGCTCAAGGTTAGGGTTCAACGAATTATTCTCCTCCCATCACATATGGGCTATACCTCCTCTCAGCACGAGTGAGGTGGATCGTTACTAGCCGGTCTGACTTAGACGTAAGTGGAAATGCAGTCGAGTCAAGGTCGTTTTGGGGATTTCCTCCTTTAATCGGGATATGTTGGTTGGCCAGGCTGCGAAAATAGAAATAGTATGCTGAACACTTCCAATAGAGCTTTCAGCACTGCAAATGTGAGTGCCCGAAGTTTGGCGCACATTCATTGCCCATTTCAGTGTATGGAATCAATGTTTCAGGGAATTATGCACTATTGATTGGCTGGAGTGCTGTGTTTTTTTTTACTTATTTGTGATGCCAACCAAACCATGTCAGGTGAACAGGGTCAATGTTTTTGTCAATGAATGCTTCCTTTTGGTTTTTATTACAATATTCAGAGTCCATATTCTGTACATAAACACTTGGTGGGAAATTGCTTCACAACCTGTTTGACATCATGTAGTAGCCATTGGCTGTTGTTGATTTTTTGAACTGGCATCAGTCTAATGAGATGTGGCAGAAGTCAAGTGGCAAACCTACTTGGCTGTGACAGCAATGTTGCATTGAGGTTGAATATGAGGACTTGAAATACCAATGAAAACTATTTAATACACAAGTTAAGGCTAAAGTAGTGTGAATATTCAGAGTCCATATTCTGTATATAAACACTTGGTGGGAAATTGCTTCACAACCTGTTTGACATCATGTAGTAGCCATTAGCTGTTGATGATTTTTTGAACTGGCATCAACCTAATGAGATGTGGCAGAAGTTAAGTGGCAAGCCTACTTGGCTGTGATGGCAATGTTGCATTGAGGTTGAATATGAGGACTTGAAATACCAATGAAAACTATTTAATACACAAGTTAAGGCTAAAGTAGTGTGAATTTTTGCAAGCAGCCTTAAGTATTCTGCCATAAAAGCTGATAACATCTCCCCTCAGCCAACTTCTTTTGTGCCCAGGTGTGACTGACAGAGATGGCTTGGCCAGTTCAGCTGTCCAGCCTGCTCATGCCAGCTGCTCGTCTCCGCACCATCTATCATCAGTCGTGGCTGAGTGTGGCTGGCAGACACTTCTTTGCTGGTGATGAACCCACAGCAGGGCTGGACTGGGACTACCTGCTGGATCCTGCCAATGCCGACCAAATCGACGCTGATGTGCAGCGCCGCAAGGGCGTCGGCAACGTTTGGCTAGTGCAGGAGTTACACGCGCAGTACAGCGCGGCAGCAGCCGCCGAACGTCTGCCCGTGCTGCGCCGGCTGGTGGCCGAGGCGCTGCGACTGCCGAACCGCACCCGGCCGTCGCCCGATTCGGACGAGATGGAGGTGGCGCGCAAGGTCGGCCAGAAGCCGTCCTTCGACTTCCCTGTCAAGGACTTTCGGCACCGTGCCCAGAAGCTCAACATGTTCCGTATGGACAACCTTGGACTGCTCACGGGTAGCCGGACATATGTAAGGGTCACTACACGCCTGCTGCTGCACCTGCTGGCTGTAAGGTTTATACTTTTAAGCTATTTGAGCGATGGTCAAAACAATTGGTTAGTACGATAGTACGATAGTCGATAGTACGATAGTCATGCAATGGGGATTTTATGAAGCATGTGATGCAATGAGCAGCGGTACCTTGGTGCATGAGCTTGTGCCAATTCGAGGAAGCTAAATCAGTAAGACGGCACGCCTGTGAATGTGCGACGTGTGACTGTGTGGCGACGTGACTGTTCCAAACGAAATCGCTTGATTTGGATGGGACTGCTGATGCTAATGTGATGTGATGATTTCGTACGTTTGATTTACCGCTCATTTGTACATCCGTTTACTATACGGCGACACGAGTGCCCGGCCGGAGGTATCCCCGACACCAGGCCTGCCGGTGCTCTATGCCCCCTCCCCCTCATGTGCCAAAAGTACCTGAAGCACGAGCTGGCTGAGCTGGAGGCGGCCCTGGTGCGGCACGCGCTCTCCACGCTGACGGGCGCCGGCTTCCGGCTCGTCTCCGTGCCTGACCTGCTGCACTCGTCCTACCTGGAGGCCTGCGGTGTGCCTGTCCATGGCGACAGGACCATGGTGGGTGGCACCTAGATCGGCGCAGAGACTTCCACTTCCACCTTTCATTTATAAGAAATGAGCATGAATGACGGCAGCGGCGCGTCTGGAAAATGCCGAGATACACGAGCTAAGGGCTGATTCATTAAATGTTTAAATGTGTGTGGCTGTTTGTTTCACAGTCGAATGTTTGTTGGCTTCAGCCATGAGTCTCCTTCGCATTGTCTCATGAATGGCATTCGATGAATCTGCGTTACCTAGTAAGGCCGGTGCCACCAGATGCGAGTCAAAGAGCTCCTGTGCAGAATTGCCTATGATACAGGGGCCCCCACTTACTTGACCTGCCATCGTTCTATGTCATACTCATCCGTCCGGACCCTGGATCAATATGGCCCTCCATGTTTTCAATGTGTAAGTCCGCTTAATGCCGCATCATGGTCACGTATCATTCTGTTGACTCAAAACCGGAGACGCCACGCCGTGACGTTAGCGACGGTGCGGCTGCCGCGTCAGGTGTACTCGCTGGACGAGCGGCTGCACGGCGACGTGTGCCTGTCGGGGACGGCCGAGATGGCGCTGGCTTCGCTGCTGGCCGGTCGCCGCCTGCCGCCGTCGCGGCTGCCGCTCCGGCTGGCCGCCGTGTCACGCTGCTTTCGCCCCGAGGTCTCCAACCTGGAGGCTGAGTCCGGGTTGTACAGGTCAGAAGGTCGCGACCGCGGCGGCGGTGGCGTGGCGTGGCCTTGTGTGTTCTCACGATCTCGGATGGATCGGCTCATTGCGCGACTTTTCGTCACGTTGTTTCCTCTGGGGACTGAACCTGTGACATGAGCTACGCATCATTGTTTGGTCTATTTTACGGCACTGTCGCGTTTCCGCATATATCATTGCGTTCCATGACACGTATCCCATCCTTTTTCGCTTTCCAAGCACTTTCTTCTGGACAGCGGTCATAAAGTGCCAGAAATTGGGCTTACCCATTGTGCTTTCTGCAATTTGAATATAATCTTTACGGATAGCATCCTCACTTCTGAACGCCTTGGGGCTTAGAGTTGTCTCATCTTGCCAGTGCCTCCGTCGTGGTACCAGCTGATGGCACGTCGATCTTCGCCAACGGTCCGTCAGTATAATAAGCAGGGAACAGACATTCGTCCCGTGTCACTGTACGCGTCAGCGGTACCTCCGCTTCGCGAGCAAGGTAGAGAGAGGACAGCGCAGACCGTACCGGTCGTTCCGCTCCGTGAGCAGGGTAGAGGGAGGACAACGCAGACCGTGCCGAGCACCGCTCTCCGGCCCCACGATGTGCCGCCTCCGCTGCAGGGTTCACCAGTTCACCAAGGTGGAGATGTTCGGCGTGTGCGACGGCGACCTGTCCGCATCGGAAGCCCTGCTGCAAGAGTTTGTGGACCTGCAGCAGCGCATCTTTACAGCTCTGGGGCTCCACATTATTATTTACGACATGCCTCCACATGAATTGGGCAAGGAGAACAATAGACCTTAGTCGTGTTCGAGAGGCGATCAATTTTTTATAAATGCATCAATCGATGGCATTCTTGTTGAGGACCGGGCTTTCTTTCACGGTAAAACTATCGTTCTATTTCGACCGCTGTCAAGAAATAATTTCTGATTGGGCATGCTTGTGTTGAAGTGATGCCAGTGTTTCAATCAGATTTGTACCACTGGTGCACCCTAATAATTTATCAACGCTGAATAAAGCACGGATAAACTAGGCTTAATTGATTTAACTTGATTGAACTAAACTAAAATTTCTAGGTATGCTTCTTGCAATACTGCCGATAACATTGTGCCTTCAGGCATCCATGAGTAAAAGGTAAAATGCATAATAAACAGGAAATGGTGTAAAATTCCGCCGAAGGATGTGCACAACTTTGCCACTGAGCGCAATGCGTGAGCCCCCCACGGTCGACGTCACTGCTGGTGCCCGATGAGCCCGCGTGCGCCGCTGGTGCTGACCGCGAGTGCTGCTGCAGGTGCCGCTGCCTACCGCAAGTACGACGCCGAGGCGTGGATGCCGGGCCGGGGCCTGTACGGCGAGGTGAGCAGCGCCAGCAACTGCACCGACTACCAGAGCCGGCGGCTGCGCGTGCTGGACGAGGCCGGCCGGCCGCTGCACACCGTCAACGGCACGGCCTGCGCCGTGCCCCGCACCCTGCTGGCGTTGCTCGAGACGCACCAGCGGCGCGACGGCTCGGTGGCCGTGCCGACGCCGCTGCGGCCGCTCCTCGGTGGCCTGGAGCTCCTCCGACCGCGGCCCGGCCGCGCCCAGTGGAGCCGGCCGCACCGGCTCCGACTCAGTGATCAGAGCTGACGGCTCAGTGGTCAGAGCTGACACCTGCGGTGAGAACGGTGGCTGGGGCCGAGCACTGGGTCCCCGATGTCTGCTTTGTGGATGAGCGTGTGGAATGCAATGGGCGTTCGTTGGCACTGGCTGTTGTCTGCGACATGTGACATCCAGACAGTGGTGCGTGGTCGATACGGAACTATCCGGTGATCAACTATGCAATCAAGTCCCCTTTGTGTTCGCTGCGTTTTGGATAGACGGAACAGCTACGAATTCTTGTTTTTTTCCGTGATCCGCAGAGCGCATCCGCGTCGTGGTTGTCCCGTGGCGGCTCTGCATCGGTTTGCCTGTTCATCGCTTATTAATGACCAAAAAACTGTAGGTTTTGCTTTCCCAATTGCTGTCGCTGTCAGTGGTAGTTTTTGCCTTTAAGATAAAGTGGTTCAGGTAGGGTCCTTGCCTTTGTGATCCGCAAGTGACACGGTTTCAAGCGACCAGGCGTGCACAGGTTGCGAGGTAGCGCCGCGCCTACACGGCCCAGCGGTTCCCGAGTGGTGTGACATTCAGGATCGGTCGCCATCCGCCGCGGACTTCCCTCTCTCGGGTCCCAGGCACGGCGTGACGACTGGTGAACGCGCCCGTCACCAGCTCCCCATGGGGGGGGGAGGGGCGCAACGCACCCGCCATGCGCCAAAACGGCCAAATCGCATAGTTAGGACCAGAAGCCGCGTGCGGTGTATACGCAGCACGGATTTTACTTTTCTTTTTGCTGCATTTCACAGGAGCAGCGGCTGCAGGTGAATACTATGTAAACAGCGCTCCTAGTATCGCTAGGGAGCGGCGTAACGCGACGGACAAAATCTGGCATGCACATTGAACATCCTATACTCACGCCTTGCATGCGTTTGCACTTTATCGCCAATTTGCCATGACGCAGTGACCTCACTGTAGAGCAAGCATGCCTAGCCTTTCAGATATCACCTGAATGCATAAGACCTTCGAGACGCGTAATATTCAATGAGGACATCTTCCATACAGAACTCGGCGCAGAAACACGGCGCGTGTCCACCAGCGTTCGACACATCAGCCACGCCCCACCCACCATAGCAGGTCACGCAAACTGCAAACTGCATCAGTATAGACCACCTCGACGTTCTGTATTTCACTTCATCAACAACCGGGAACAAATCTAAAAATATGATACGACCCTGGCGGGCATTTAGAGGGTTAAATAGTCATGTTCACCCTATAGAAAACATCTAACAGCAGTGCTAACGTGCGGCAAAAGCCATCGACCAGATTTCATGATTAAATAAAATCGCCACTTGGAGAAAATATTTATGAGTTATCATGCAGTGTAATCATATAGATATATTTGGCTCTAAGCTGGTGAAGCCGAGCGACGCACTCATAAAGCCAGCCACGAGTTGCCTCTTCTCGCCGAAAGACGGAGCCCAACATCGACCAATGAGAACATACAATAGCTGCTGCCTTGTCAGTGGGCCGCCGCCATAACCATGGAGACTCGCCGGACGGCCAGCACGCGTGACCTCGACGTGCCTCTCCTCCCCCTTCCCTCTGTTTGTCGCGGGGTCCCATGGCGTCAGGGCAGCGCGGCGTGGCTGACTCCATCTCCCAGAGGTGTGCCGACATGGCTTTTATCCCAGCCTACCAAGCTGATGGTCAGAGCACGCACGCTCCCAGCAGGGTACAACGGTCCATTTGGCCATCGCTCTCTACTCACGAGCGTAACACGACACGAGCGGTGCCCGATATGTACCAGACGTCACGCGCCCTCTCTTCATCGGTACGTCCCCGATTCTTGGAAGCAGGCTCCACCAACCCCCAGCCGTCGACAAAACACGATGGAATGGGTCATTAGCGTATCTGGCAACAGAAACGAAAGGCTTGGCCGGCGCACGTGCGCTGTCACACTGGCCACCTCGCCGACCTGACGCGGCCGGAACCGGGCTCAGCGCCCGTCCATAAACTGTGCACCAGCTCCGACCTCGTCCGCCGGCCTCTGCGTCAACCCTGGCGCCACACGGATGTGCTTGCCAGCCGGCAGTCGGCGAGCGTCCTCCCAGCGCGCCGGAGTCACGCCGCCAGCTGTCCTCCCAGCGCGCCGGAGTACACATTGCCAGCCGTCCTCCCAGCGCGCCGGAGTCAAGCCGCCAGCTGTCCTCCCAGCGCACCGGAGTACACACCGCCAGCTGTCCTCCCAGCGCGCCGGAGTCACACCGCCAGCCGTTCTCCCAGCCCTCCGGAGTACACACCGCCAGCTGTCCTCCCAGCCCTCCGGAGTCACACCGCCAGACGTCCTCCCAGCGCGCCGGAGCCGGCACGGCCCGCGGGAGCGTCGGGTGCCGGCCGCCGGCTGAGGCTCTCAGTCGTTGTTGGGCCGCATGTGGTCCAGCTGGAGCTCGAGTGAGGTGCGCTCCTCCACGGCCTCGGCCAGCTCCTGGTTGAGCTCGGCTGTCACCTGGGCCAGAGTGGCCGTCCGCTCGCGCTGTGCCCGGATCAGCAGCTGAAGCACGTCCCGGCTCCACGAGCTGATGCGGATGGGCGGCCGCGTCACGGACGGCCGCGTCACGGACGGTCGCAAGCGTGTCGGGAGAATACGCACGCTACTGCCATCACAGCACGCCAGCAGGACAGGAGTCATAGTGCGTAACACCACACCGGCGCAGAAACCTCCACTTTTGTCATACGTTTATAGGGAATAATGTCGGCGTCGGCACATCCGCACAGTACTGACATCTATCACTTGCGAGTAGATTCACAAAAAGTGCATGTTTTGGTGCTACATGCTTAACAAATAATCCAAAAAGACGTTTTGTGGCTTTCGTCGCGAGAGGACTTCCCTTTTGCATCGTCAAGAAATTACGTTATTGATAGCCCTATCACTCGTTGAATAAACAGGAGAATGGACCAACAAAATCTATCAATATATCTGATATATTGATATTTCGGCCACATACCTTTACCGAAACGAACATCAGTAATAAATTCGAAACTGCCTGCCGATCCTACTCGACTTTTCAGTTTTTGTCTTTCACAAGCCACAGTGCTTACAGGTCACCAGTATTTACGTGATTCAACGAGGAGGAAATGCCAAAACTGAGAGCCCCGCTGCCGCCGTGTGCCAGTCCAGCACGTCGCCTCCCACTTACCCCATGGCCACCATCTCGTGGACGGTGAGCGTGGCGAGCCGGGCCGGGCTGATGGCCGGCGCCGGCCGGCTGCTGGCCGCACTGGCCGTCAGCTCGCTCGCCGAGCCGCGCCTCATCTCGGCCGCAGCTGTCGGTGGCCGCCCGGTCCACGGTCACCAGACGCGCGCGCGCAGCCGCCGCCGGCACAAACGGGCGCCGACATGGCCACGTCCGGCCGTGCCCGCGCCCGTGGCGACACGGCCACGTCCGGCCGTTGCGGCCAGCACAAACGGGCGCCGACACGACCACGTCCGACCGCGGCCCGCGCAAACCGGTGCCGGTACGGCCACGTCCGGCCGTTGCGGCCCGCACAAACCGGTGCCGGCACGGCCACGTCCGACCGCGGCCCGCACAAACCGGTGCCGGCACGGCCACGTCCGGCCGCGGCCCGCACAAACCGGTGCCGGCACGGCCACGTCCGACCGCGGCCCGCACAAACCGGTGCCGGCACGGCCACGTCCGGCCGTTGCGGCCCGCACAAGCCGGTGCCGGCACGGCCACGTCCGGCCGCGGCCAGCACAAACGTGCGCCGACACGGCCACTCATGCAACTCCGACAACTCATGCAGCGTTCCCCTGTCTGCTAGATGACATTTCAAGGCTCTGAGGCAACCCATATTATAACATCCAACATGTTGCCCACATCGCGATTATGTAATATTCGAGAGGCGATCACCTAAAGCGCATGGCCTTTCGCCATGGGACATCAGCACGCTATGCCCAACCCCACCAAGCACAGGTGGGGAGCTGCAAGGACATAGAGCGGTCCCGACCACGTGCCTGCTCATAGGCCGGGGTCACGGGCCGGGGTCACGGGCCGGGGTCACGGGCCGGGGTCACGGGCCGGGGTCACGGGCTGTCAGCGACACTGACCTGGCTTCTTGTAGACCTCGAAGGCGCCCTGGCGCCGCTCGGGACCCGGCTCTTGGAACTGACTGAAGTCGGCGAAGTCACCCGGCTCGGCAGGCGGCTGTGGTGGTCGCGCTTGACTGCGGGTGGCCTGGCAACATAGGTCCCTGCTGGTGACCTCACAGCGCGCCGCCGACACGTGACAGGAGGGTGGCCAGTTTGTGACAAACCAGCCGCTCTTACACCTTCGTAAGCTCAAATCATGTTCAACGTGCGGGCTTTACGTGCGAGTTGCCTGTGTTTTACCTCCCACACGACGGGTAATATCCTACACGCGCGCCAGCGGGCCGCAAGACTGGCAGACGTGCCGTTCGGCCGCGCCGTCCTCCGGCCACCGCCGCGGTAGCGATCGCCGCCGCACTGAATACCTGTCGAGCATTCAGCCCATATTCCGTCCTTCAAGGCCGTCGACGTCGGGTCCACGCGCCAGCGCGGATGTTTCGCGGTACGCCACAGCAATGGGCGTGACAGGTGTCGGCGTCACAAGGCCAGAAGCTTTGTGTCGTTAAACAGCCCATAACTCCACACATGCACCACCACGACCTTACGCAGCCGTGCGCACCGGCTGGTGACGGAGCACTCCGGCGCGGGTTGGCGGGCCCGGCCCTGACTCACGTCGGCCGGCGAGCCGCGCGGCGGCACGAGCGGCGGCGCCGTCGGCTGCGGCGGCGCCCGGCTCAGGTCCAGTGAGCTGCTGCGCGCGTGACTGCTGGCACCGGGCCGCGGCGGCGGTGGCGGCGGCGCCGGCTGTGGCAGGCGGCACGGCAGCACCGGAGCCGTCTGCGCCAGCACCGGCAGGCTGGCCGGCCCGCTGTAAGGATCGGCCGCGCCCGGCGGACCCGAGCTGCCTGCACACATCACCGCATGCTCAATATCGCGACCACGAGGCCGCCAGCGGCCTCCACAGACCGCCAGGTCAAGTTTGCGTTAGCAGTCTGACGTACCCAGGGAAACATGAAGTCCTTTGGCCTGCTGCCTTCAAACGAACAGTTCCAAAACTCAAACATTTTTCGAGCTATGAGTGGTGGAGCAGGGGGCGATAAACATGACCATTCGGCAGGCCAAATCGCAAAAGCTTGTCGACATTTTCTCCACATGAGACAAACAAGTTTGACACGTCCAACCCCATGATTGCTACACTAGGCCGACATATGGGAAGGCCGCCATTAAGGTGGGGGGGGGGGGGGGCTGTCCGCTAGCGACCATCATAGGGTCAGATCCAGGTGCCCCTAGCACGCACTGTGTCGGAGCGTCCTGCCAGCAGGCCGGGCGGCCAGGGCGGCCGGCGGCGGCGGTGGCGGCGGCGGAGGCGGAGGAGGCGGCGGCGGCGGAGGCGGCGGCGGAGGAGGCGGCGGCGGCGGCGGTGAAGACGCGGGCGCAGGCTCTGCACTCTCGGCCGAGTCGGAGTCGGACGAGTCGCCGCGCGGCCGGCGGCCCTGCTCGTCCCGTGTCCCCTTCACGGCCACCGGGTGCAGGATCTGCGGGTTCTGGCGCCGCCCGAGACCACGGGTCATGGCCGCACACACGCTGTGGTGCAGCGGATCTCGGATTTCGACGGCACTCGGCGCAACACCATCCTGGACCGCGTGGGGGTGTGTGGCCCCTCGATTCCAAACACCGTGCGGCCTAACACCAATCCACACGCCAGGACGGCACAAACGTGCCCCGTGCGGAATCCACACCTGATAAAGAGGTCATCTGATGACACCTTAGGGCTGAACTGTCATGGTAGTTCTAACGCTGTTGATCCACGTTGTTTTGCCGTCCCAAACAGCTCTACCCCCATCCGCCGGATAACGCTACATCAAGTCAAAGCTTTCAAACACATATATCTGACGGATAATGTAGGCAACCCTGATTAATTTTATATCCCATGCGCTTGACTTTGGATGAGCCTGCACTTCCGCGTACGTGTTTCGTATCGTGAACTTTCTTATCTTCGTGTGCGACGATAACATTGGCGCGATGTGAAATATTTGATATATTGTTCCACCGGTCTGAAGACCTAATCCAACATGAACTTCACCTTGAAAAGCCTCCACCATGAGTGACACTAATAGTTTCATTAGCTTTTAGTCATCAACGACGTGTCTCAGTAACCTTGGTCAATGTCATAATCAGAGTTGGCAGTGGTCAGCTGAAAGGGTTTTTACCAGCCGGTTTTTGCTGATCTAAACCGTCCGAAGAAAACTGACGGAAACTGGCGGTATTGTGGAGCAGATGGCGCGACAATGCTGCGAAGTAAAGCAGCAAAACAGAAAAACGACTTACATGTAACACAAAGGTAGTGTTGCATGGCGCACTGATCGCTTTGAGCAAAGCTAAAAATAAAGGGTGACTGTCAAAAAGCATAAGATATTAAACATTGGTTGAAAAAACAAACCACATAATTACTGGTACTAACTGACAATGTACACAAATAAATTTGACACAAACAAAAAATATCACGAGATGCAAATGTCTGGACAGCGAGGTTTTATTTATAAAACGACTGGTAGTGAGACTGAATCCAAAATAATATCACAGATCACCGGAATATGAACCAGCACATTACACATGCCAGGAAATTAACTTACTGCCATGGCCCGTGTGACACCAATCCACATCCCAGCGTTTTTTTTCAGAATGCACAGCAAAGCCCTAAACCAAAATATATCGAAAACTCTCGTCAATGTACACAATCTGAGCACTCATCAACCTGACCACATGTTTTAGAACAGCCACACTTTTGCTCACCAATGATTGGATGGATTGTGCCATTGGCCACTCATTGGTCGCAACCTCGAAAAAATGACAGACCGACCTGAATTAAAATCAGCATCGTGCTGCATGCATGGTAGACCCAAGTCACAAAAACGAGTCATTCACTCCAGCTTCTTAGAATAGATACCCCAATCCTTGACGCCAATGAAGAGCCCAATATTTGGGCCTCGTACAGTACGTTTTTGTTTTTTTTTGGTTCGTTCACCCGGTTGCCTATAAGCTGTCCCACTGACCTGCTCCACTGCCGACTTGTGGAAGTCGAAATTGACTGGCTTTATGCCAGGCGACGACATGTTGCTCATGGGAGACTCAACGAACTTAGTCCACTGAAATGGGGCGAACCTCTGTCAAAAAAGCAGCCGTCAAATCACTTCAAAAACATGTCGGACACAGACGACTGTTTCATTGGTCGCTGGACTCCAATCATCAATAGGCGGCAGCCGCCATCGACGTCCACAGACGAACGCCGCACAGAAAAACCCTCGCCGCGTCCGTTCCACTCCACCTCCAGCTTCATCAGCAATCAAATTACAGCATTCGAGCACAGAGACGAGACCAAATTTAGAGTAACACCACCGTAATTTAGCAAGATATCTCGAAGTGTTCACATGGCTAATTTCTCGCTTCGAATGAAAGCCAAGCAGGGCTTGGTCACCAGTCCTGGACCAGCACATGGACGGAAACAGTGACCTCTGCGCCACAAAATCACCGACCAACGAGCTGTCTGACGCGGGAAGCTTCCGTCGCATCGCCATAGCCCGAAACGACCATAAACAGCCGGGCATCCCGACTGGAGCTCACGCAGTCCGTCAGCTACCTCGACCTCGACATCGTCCGCCGGAAGCGGTCAGTCACAAAACGGGGTCGCACCTCCTTGCCCTTGGGCGAAGTCAGCTGGGCGGACGGTGGGCCGCCAGCCGTCGGCTGCGACGGTTCGGCCGGTCGCGGCGCGGACAGGCCGGCGCCCGTCTGACGCAGGATCGACACACGGGTCAGCACACAACCCCGGCCGGCACCCGTCTGACGCAGGATTCACACACGGGTCAGCACACAACCCCGGCCGGCATCCGTCTGGCGCAGGATCGACACACGGGTCAGCACACAACCGCGGCCGGCGCCCGTCTGGCACAGGATGCACACACGGGTCAACACACAACCGCGGCCGGCGCCCGTCTGGCGCAGGATCGACACACGGGTCAGCACACAACCGCGGCCGGCGCCCGTCTGGCACAGGATCGACACACAGGTCAGCACACAACCACGGCCGGTGCCCGTCTGGCGCAGGATCGACACACGGGTCAGCATACAACCGTGGCCGGCGCCCGTTTGGCGCAGGATCCGCGAACGGGTAAGCACATGACCGCGGCTGGCGCCAGGTAACACGCTAAATGGCGCCACGCCAGCCCGAGATCATATCTCGGCGTCACCTTGCAAAACACCCTAAGAGAACCCATAGCGATTCTGTAGCATCGACTGGAATCTCCAAACAACATCTGCCAGCATGATCCACAACAGAACGCACGCGTCACGAGCCGGCATCAGCGTCGGGCGCGATCACCCTGCATCTGCACAAACACAAACTGTGCGCTGCTGCACCGACCTTAGGCACAAGTGACATTGGCAGCTGATCAGGGACCTCGATCCTGTTCCTCCTGAGCACGACCAGGTGCATGGCGGTGACGAACTCCTCCAGACACAGACAGCCATCTCGGGTGACGTCCGACAAATTCCTGCCAAGCAAACACACATGTGGGCCACCCTTGATATGTGCCTATGAGCATCCAGCCCATTGTCTGGCCTGGCCCACGCTGGCTTGCGAGGAGCCCTAACTCACACCAGTCCTGTTCTGCTGTAAGCTTCCAATGCACTCCCGGGCTCCACGTAGCTGCCAGCTCAGGCATAGCGCAGGTGCACGTAGTATAGATAATAGCGAGTAATGTCCAGGAGGGAGAATAATGTGCAAATTCACTATCAGATGACATGACGTTCACCTTAAACCTCAAGTCATCAGTCGGCCGGCGTTCAGTCACAGGCCCTGGGCACCCATCTACGACCACCGCTGCTCACCAGATCTTGCTCAGCGCCGCCACAGGTAGCTTGCTCTTCTCAAAAAAGGCCTTGGCAGTGTGTCCGGGTACGAGACCGGCGAGGTCGGACTGCAGCGCCAGGAACTGCTGCACGTAGTACTGGCGCTGCTCGCCGCTCACCGTCCACACGTCCACCTCGTCCTCGGACGAGTGGCGGTCCGAGGACTCGCCCTCGGTCGCCAGCAGCTGGCGCCGCTCGTCAGACACTGGCCGGCAGCAGGCCCACGGCCGTCACGCACGCGCACACGCACACACGCACACTTTGTCATCACCATTATGTGAATGGCAAAATGAAGCAATACAATGTATGACATGTCAGCCAGAGATATGCTGTCACTTTCACTAGAGTTCTACACTAGACAGCCCTCTTTCATAAAATGGGCTGTGGCTGTGGCTGGAGCTGGAGCTGGAGCTGGGGCTGGGCCTGGGGCTGGGGCTGGGGCTGGGGCTGGGGCTGAGGCTGGGTTGGGCTGGGCCAGACCAGACCAAACCAGGCCAGACACTCACATGTTGTCTGCCACTGGACGCGACCGGGCCGGGCCGGCTTGGGCGAGTCACTGGCTGGTGAGGAAGCAGAGGGCGAGTCGGCAGAGAGGTGTGGCTCATCTGTGTCAGCTGTCGCCTCCCCATTGGTGGCACCCAGGCTCTGCCAATGGGCCGGGTGTGGGAGCAGTTTAAGGGGTGAGTGCGGGAGGCAGTGAACCCCAAGCCATGGGTTCAGTAGCACAGCAAATTATGACAATCCTGCTACCTAAGAGGTCAAATATTGTCACACACAATGTATTCCATTAGATGCTGCATTGTACTTGTTGTTCAGATAATGCTGCACCCTCAAGCTAGCAAGCTGGCAGTAGTCTTGCTTTATGTCATGTCACCTACCTTTGTGGTAAGACAGGGGCAATGGTGAAACTCATCATCAGCAAAATGCAACCATCATAGTCTCACTGCATTGACATCAAAATATTGACAAGCAGGCTTAGGCATTCCATTTAACAGTCACACATGTGCATAAGTCACTTTAGAACTTATGCATAAACAAACATTTAATTGGTATGATTGGCAAGTTTCCTGTTGTTTGTCAATAATTACCTTGTACTGAATCTCTGCATCTGTATCTGTGTCATTTAAATTAATCAAGTCAGGTGACTTGATTAAGCTCATTTCCTTATCCATCTGAAAAATACAAACAGTTCACAGGGGCCTGACAAAACACTGCATCAATTTAACAGGCACCTAGTGTTGCATTCACCATACAAACAGGCAAGGTTTTAAAAGCAAGTTTTGACTAAAGCCTCATTTCAGAATAAGTGTGTATGGATACCTCAAGTTACATCTACACCTTGAAGTGAGGGCTTCCCACACATCCAGGCCCACATTTGAATGAAAAATGGGCATCCTGACTTTGATGCACATTGATTTTTGAATGAATACAATGCAGGTAGATATCAAAAGGCAAACATGACAACAATTGCTCATTATCCTGGTCCAGAAGACATTTAGCTTGTAAATTGTTTGTAAACAGCTGTGATGACAGCTTGGTGATCTTCAAATAATCATCCAATCTGTGTTGGATACTGTTGTCTACTCATAAGCCAAGATCTTAATAATTAGCTTACCACTCAAAACAATATGTGCTACTTTGCTGACATAACAAAACAGCACATCATTAAGAAATTAGTCAATGAGCGTCATGAAAAGCACAGTTGAGCACTTCAAATTTTTGAGCACTACGCAGTCTTCATCAGCTGGCAAGTGAGTGTGACAGAAAGATATGACAAATGTGCTTTCAGTTGAAATATCTGTAGGTGGCTTCAATAAGTTGTTTTCCTTTTATATCAGATGGCTTGGAAGTCACATAACCAACAGATCATTATCACATCTTTACACATGAAGCCTGCAAAATACACCCATCCCCATGCATGCACTGCAGCCTCAGAGGGGGGTAGTAGCATCAGCGGGCATCCACGTTAAGACCTCCGATCATTTCTTTCACAAGACACTCGAATCATTGCTTGGAAGTCACGGGGCAAGGGTTCAAGATACAGGAAATACGCCATGTTAAAACATAATTCCACATACACACAAATCAACAAAACCTGGTCTACGCTCATCTTACCCTCCCTTTGAAACATTAGCTTTAAATTCGTCTGTCACCAACGCCCTAAAAATGCAGCCCAATCCTCACCGTGGGATCAACCTGCCCCACCGCAAATTCCAGACATCAACAATTGACATATCAACAATTGAATTTAGCAGGCTAAGAGATGGTTATGGCGCGTAAGAGTCAAATATACGCGTAATGCAAGGAACTCAGGGCGGGCAAACCAAACGCCCGTCATCAATCTGCTGCTGGATTGACGGACGTGCGAACCGATAGGTATGAACTTCATACATATTTTGAAGCATCCACTGACAGCAATATCGTATGACTTGCATACGGAGTTAACTAAATTCAATCTGTTTCAAGAACAGCGGCGTATAAGGTCTAAGCCAGGAGAACCCCAGTAGTGATGACAGGTTCCGCAGCTGTTTTCTTGAAGATAGGCCAACTCCCGAAATGAGACCAAGAGACAGATTATTAGGCGGATGAAAACGTATGGAATTGTCAGTTAACCAAATGCCTTTTGGCATGATGTGAATACAAATTGGACATAGAATGATCATAGTTGTCAATGTGCCCTTAAGCCCCAATTCGTCATTGGTGAACAACATGCACATTGGCATGCCCTAAAGCACAAATCATCACCAATACACATATCCCATATCTGAGTGACCAATATGGCAAAGGACAAGAAAGACTATACACAAATTGTGTTAAATGTCATCAGTCATTTTTCAGCCCTCCTTTCATTAAGCACACTGGTTATGCTAGATGATACCCATCCTGATCATCATGTATCAAGCATAACTGCTCCTAAAGCATACCATCCATTCAGCATCTGCTAGAGCAGAAAACACAAAAATGCCGATAATTTTACTTTAAACTATAGAAAGCTAACTGCTTCCAGCTTTAAGCTTTCAATCCCATCTACTTTGTCACACATCTCTGCAGCACCCATGCTGAATGTCATGCTGGTGTGTACCAGGCCATTTTGCTGTGGATTTTTTATTACCATGGCATGATTGTTTGCAGAGTGTATTTGCTGAATATTACCAGTAAAACATGGCAATTCTTTCCAAAATTGGTTCTCTGCACTGAAATTGGTGGTGACTGTGCACCAAACCCTGAGTGCTCAGATTTATGACAGGAAGCTGTGAAATTGGTGCTGTGATGTGCTGCTGTTCATGCTGGACATGTTCAGGATAAATTAAAGTTTTGTGGTGTGACCAGAGTGAAACTGTAACTTAGTGAGGCCCAAATCACCTCTGGACCCTCTCTTCTTTGTTTTGCTTCAATTGTCCTCCATTCCCTGCCCCCCCCCCCCCCCCATGCACACACATTTGTAATGTAGTTTGTGATTGCCTCAAAGTAACCATGAAAATTTACTTTGTTTCAATGGAGTGGCATGGAGTCTTGGTAATGAAGAAAAATCATGTGAAGTTATGAATGGACTACCCAAAATGATTTCTACTTAAGACTGAATGAAATAAGAAGAAATGGACCCCATACTTCCTGGCTCCTTACTCCATTGACAATTTGGTGCAAAAGCAATCAGCTGCTATGGATGTAAGGAAACTACTGTGCCTCCTGGAGTGAATTGTTTCTATGCCTGGCTCAGTTGTACAGGCAGGGAAGCTGAATCTGAATCTAATCCTAGCCAAAACAGAATGGGTTTTGAAAAGGTATTGGATCCTACTTTAGTCAAGTGCAAGTCAAGTTGTTTGTTTAAAGAATCCCATCTGGCAAAATCTTGTGAAACATGTAGATTTCCTTGTCAGTTCTGCTTTCATCCCTGAATCATTTGTACACCTGGTTTTAAAATGTATCTTTCAAGTGCAAATAAACATAACATAGTTACATGTGGTGTGTTGGTGTTGAAGTTCACCTCCTTGTTTTGCAGGTACCAACAAGGCCTGGGGCTGAGTTGTCGTTGTCGAACTGTCCTGATGGGGTCTACTCCACTCTCGCCGCTGGCAGTTGAGCTTCAAAGTAGTGCGATTACTGCGTAGCAGCTCGCTGCCTGTGAATGGGAGGTGCAAGCTTTCCCTGCATACGTCAACTGAGGACGGTCGGGGTAGACTCGTCGTGGAAGGCGCACCAAAATGTCTGGTCGAAAGACAACTGATTACGGGATAGGTGGTCGCTGTGAGGGAGTGGGAACGGCGCAGGCCCTCGGTGTAATGCGTGGTAAAGATGATGGTTTTGTGAGCCAAGGTAAAACAAGAGCGCGAGGATCCTGCGAGCGAGTGTCTAGGCGGGAACACAGCCCCGCTCGTGACGAGAACCGCTGGCGTGAAGACGACCTAACAATCGCCAGCTCCAGACCTGGAAAGCGTGTCAGGCATTTGACAGAGCCCGCTATTGACTCGTCTCAGGTAAAGCCATGCATCAAGCGACGTCGTCTGTATTCTATGCCTGAGGGCATCTTGGAGCCCAGAACTACGGCCAGCTCACAGAGTGACGGCTCGATGGCAGGTGTCGTGAGGCCAAGAAAGACTGTTGATACCGCCAGCAGGCCGAATGAGTCCGTGTATGACATGCTTCTTGAGCACAGTGTGAAGAGGTCGAATCGTGGATGGCATGGCAGACCATGCAGAAAGGCGCGCGGTGGCAAAAAGGCGACTCCGAATCGACAGCGTCGGAAAGTCGCGCCGCCAACGGAAGGAATGATCGGGGAATGTTATCCGCCTGTGCCGGGACGGCAAGCTACGACTGCTGCCGCTCGTAATCTTAGTGGCTCTTCGGGTCAGAAGAGTGAGAATCGGCCCAGTCGGGCAGCAAGCGAGTCTTCGATGAAGACCCTCCATGAAGCTGCCGGAGAGCAGGCGTCGGAGACAGTGCAATGGGTTGAAAAGATGCTCGCCTGCGATGAAGTCCTGGAGCGCGGCAACACCGAGATCTATTTCTTGCCAAACGTGGGTGCGCCAGAAGATGTAGACAGTGATGACGATGATGCGTTTGAGCCAACCAGTGAACTATCCGCGCGCAAGCCAACTGGCACGCCGAAGGTCGACGTTGCCTCCACGCATGAAAACCATTGCGGTCCTAATGGCGCTGCAAATGAACCCGGATGCGAAACCGGCGTCAGCAAGAAAGTGAAAAGTCGTCATGAACCAGAGCCAACTATTTGCGCTCCTGTAATCCTGAATACTTGTACCTCGGAAGCATCAGACTTGCCACTGGACCTTTCTCCAGACCTCTCCATAACGGATTCGAGCGAATGGAAGCCATCCTTTCATTCGAGCTCCAGCGAGCTCCAGGACAGTGGGTCAAACTGGCTCGGAAGCGGCGTACGCATGGCTAAGAGGGCGAAGCGTGTCTACATGTATTCACGCTTCGGTCGCGAGGTTAAGACGCAGCGAGGCACCTCGGCCTCCACGCGAGCCTTCAGGAGCCCCGCAGAGTCCCGCCGAGGCCGCGACGAGGCCACGAGACGTGAGCGGCCGAGGAGGGCGGGCGGCGGCGGGCGGGGTCACTGTGCCGCCGGCCAAGCGAGCTCTGACGCGGCTGACAGCGGCGACGGCTCCGGTCAGGGCGGCTCCAGCCCCGGCTCACTGCTGGTGGAGCGGGACCCGCTGGCGTACCGGCGCCGCTGCCAGGAGTTGGGGCCCAACCTCTCCCAATGGGTGGAGCGAGCTGCGGCGGCCAGCGGCGGCGCTCGACGAGCCGGCAACCGCCGGACCGGCGCAAGGCGGCAGCGGCAGCCGCTTCACGTCTCCACGTCACTGCGTGCAAGTGGTGTGCTCAGATCGGGACGACACGCCCACGGGTGCGACAAGTGACGGCGCGTGCACCTCTCCTCCCCCGACCTCAGCGGCGGTCGCTTTGGAAGACGAGCCGCCGGCCTCGGTCGCCGACCGTCGATCATCAGGCGTCGGCGGCGGCGACAGACGCGGCCCGGGTGCTCGCAATCGGGCGTCGGGGAGAAGCTCGGCGCCGGGAGACCAGGAGACGGCAGTGCGCTCACCGACTGCCGAGTCTGCCGCCTCGGGACGGCGCCGATGGGAGCCTGCCGGGCCGCCCGGCGGCCACACGTCGGCACAGGCGGCCGGCCCCGCGACCGGCTCGACACCGCGGTCCGCACCGAAGCATAGCTGCGGCGGTGTGTTCCTGAAGCACAGACACCCCAGCGCCGGCGGAATGCGACAGACAGGCACGGGGGCTTCAGACGCGACGGCCCCAGAGGTCGAATTAGACGACACGCCAGAGATGCCGCCACAAGCGGAAGAGGACCTCGCTAAGGCTCTCACCGCAGCCGTGGGTCCTCGCCACAATGAGCTCTCTCCGCAGCCGCTGAGCCAGGCGCGCGACGTGGCGTCCGACGAGCGGGCCATCGGTCCGGCGCCCTGGTTACGGACTCACCGGTCCCACCAGCAGAGATCAGCCGCGTCCCTCCCGGCCGCCCGAAGGCTTTCAGCCGGACCGCCGCCAATGACGGAGAGCAAGACAGCGCTGCTGGATGGCGACGCACTGAGACGTGACGCAGCAGGACATCGTGAGGATGGGCCCGGCCCGTGCCGGGACGAGGGTGAGGGCGAGGCACGCGGAGAGCATGCACCATGGAGCCGCACTCCCACCGGCGTCTCAGCGGTGGTCTCGCAGACAGGAGCTGGTGACGCGCCTCAGGCTGCTCGGCGCGCCCTACGCTCGGACCCGACACTGGCCGGCCCGGGCCTCGAAAACAGCGGGGCCCAGTACCGTGCCGCGCCTGGACCGGGACCGGTCACTAGACCCAGCGCCCGCAGCGTCGCACCTGGACCCGGCGCCAGCAGTGTCGCACCTGGACCCGGCGTCGGCGTTGCTGCATCAGGACCCGGCGCCAGCAGTGCCGCACCTGGACCCGGCGCCGGCAGTGTCGCACCTGGACCCGGCGCCGGCGTTGCTGCATCGGGACCCGGCGCCAACAGTGCCGCACCTGGACCCGGCGCCCGCAGCGCCGCACCCGGACCCGGCGCCGGCAGTGTCACACCCGGACCCTCCGACGGCGTCGCCCCCCCCCGGGGCTGGCTGGTTGCGCCCAGGCCGCCGCTGGCGACCCTGGAGCGCGCCACGCTGGCCGCACTGGACCCCGCCGCTGACCAGCAGCGCCAGCTGGCGGCGGCGCAACTGCGCGTCTGGACAGCGGGCGGTGAGTGGCGCCAGCGCGCCGGCGCCGCCCCGCTGGCCGCCTGCGACCGGCTCGAACAGCTGGCATAGCTGGTGCCTGGGCCGAGGGGCAGGGACTGGAGCGGGCTATGGCCAGCTGTTGCTGCGACCTGCCGGGGCTCTTAAACTGGCTGCTGTCGGACCCGCATAACACGGCTGGGGCTGCCACGGCTTGGAACTGGGGGGGGGGGGGGGGGCTTAATGTGGAAGCTGCCAGCTGCTCAGTCTCGCGGGGTGGCTGCTGGAACTCGGGGAAGGGGCGGGGGGCGGCTGGCGTCCCGTTGATTGGCCTTTACCTTGTGGCAACCCCATCAAATCGAGGCAGAAATTGAAACCGCGCTCTCAGATGTCTCCGGCGTCAGGTATCCAGTGAGTCCTGCAAGTCGCGCGACGCTCAGGTATATCGCGTGCCATTTAGATGCTTAAACTAGGAACGGTATTGATGTTGGGCTTTCAGTCCTTGCTTTCATGTTGGATATCCGGCAGACGTTTGTTCTGCGGAGAGGTGAACGGGTGTTGGTCATGCCGCGTTTCCGGCGTTTAATGGATTAGGAGATGCGTGTGGCTTTCTCGCTATTTACTGGACGAATGTAAGTCCGAGGAGCACATAGCCCTTGTTCGTTGTCATCGGTTAATGCGTTTGTTATTTTCTTACAATACATTCAATCGTTTGGTGTTGTGTATTGCCGTGTACGTACCACCTCGTTCGAAAGCACGACCGTAAAGGAAAGGCCGCGTACATTCGCCGCCCGGTGTGCGTCACGTGACTCAACGGTGCCGACCGTCAATAACGGTACCGAGCAACTACCGAAGGCATCCAATGGTCGCCCTCAAAACCCTCGGCTGACGCCATTTCGGCCCGACATTACGTCAGCCGCTTCTCATGATTGGATTTTAAGTTGCTGTCAAGGCGTGAAATCCGGCTTAAGGCACGCTGAGCACTCCATGTTTGTCAAATGTCCAGCAACACGAAGTTGTGCAGCGTCAACACACCTCCCAAAGGTTGCCCCGTAGTTGTGCGCACGTTTGGAATCATTTATGCTCGCCCGGGCCTGCCAACTGACACGTAAATGCACGCTAGGGTACACACAACACGGAGTTGTGCAGCGTCAACACACCTCTCAAAAGTCGCAATGTAGTTGTGCGCACGTTTGGAATCATCTGTGCTCGCCCGGGCCAGCCAACTGAGGCGTAAATTCACGCCAGCGTCCACAAAACACTGGAGAGTTTAACGAACGCCTTCAAAGGTTCACTATCATGAAGAGTAAAGTACTCCGTAAATCTGAATCAAAAGCCAATCGAACCCGCAAAGTTGCCGTTGTTGTCCAGTGGTCGCGCCTGCTCTCCGCAATAATGGAAGCTTTAACAGTTTACTTTTTGACTTGCACTGAGCCGCGGCTGAGCTTCAGCGGCGTGGCTGCGAAGCCGTGATTTCCGTCAGTCAGACCCCCGGATTTCAGACATCGCATGGCACGGCCCGCCAACCGGAAGCGATTTTCTGCATGTATTCGGCACACGACCTGCCAGACAATGCAAGTTCCTGCCGCTTGTAACAGTGCACCAGCAGCCTCAGCTGACTATTCTGGCGTGCGTGGGTAGCATCCGCCACACGGAGTCAGAAAAACCATGGGGGTCGACGTCAATAACCGATCTAACGCCTGCAAAACCAGCAGGCGGCAGATGGCCGCGGCTACAGAGACGCGAACTAAGGCAGTGGCGCGACGTCCGGTGACGCCCCCTGGTACAACCGATATGACTCAACAAATTAAATTGCATAACACCATACGACACGTGGAGCGTCCGGCGTCCACTCCCGTCCGTCTGTGACCATGGCACGGGCGCCGACCGTCAAGCCTTACCGCGCCTCGCCGCCGGGGCCAGGCGCGGCCGGTCGTCAGTCACGGCTGGCGCGGCAGCAGGCCCAGCGCCTGCAGGCACGCCGCCGCCGCGCTCGCCTTGGCCAGCTTCTTGTTGGGGCTGTCTGCGCTCGGCTGGTACGTCACGTCGTTCACCGTCACCTGGCGAGGCGGCGAGAGGCGTGTCAGAATCCGCTGCGCGCGGCACGCGGCACGACGGTCGTGGCGGCCCCGGTCGGCGCGCCGCACGCCAATGTCACGGAGCGACAGCGACGGCGAACCACGCGGCGCACCAACACGTGCGCGGTAGACAACGAACAACACGCGACACCGCCGCGGTAGAGGACGAACAACACGCGACATCGCCGCGGTAGAGGACGAACAACACGCGACACCGCCGCGGTAGAGGAGGAACGCCACACGACACCGCCGCGATACAACATCGTCACAGGTTGAAGAAGGGGCAGGTACCTTGTAGAGGAAATGTTTCTGGTGCGACGGTCCGCTATCAAAAGAGAGCTCAAAGTTGGGTGGCCCCCACCTCCGCTTGGTGCACAGCTCCATCAGCGCCGAGATCGGGTGCTTGCCTGCAGCAGACGGGCGCGTTATATTCGACCACATACATTCATGAAAAGCGCATAAATGGGCCACCAGACTTGCGACTGACCAGCACTGGCACCACACGTGCACAATAAGGCGTCCCTTTGCTGCTTTGTTACCCATGCCCGCACCATACTTTTGTGGCAATGCCGAGAAAAGAGACCATCTGCGTTTCAGCCAAATTGGGCCCGGGCGTCGCCAGTTAGTGATTGCTCTACTTTAGACTTCACGGAACCAATAAACACAGTGACCTGTGCACAGCTCCTCATCGAAAACAAATTAACAAAATACCGCAGAAGGCGGCCAACCCATATCACTCCACAAAGATGGCGACCAGCCCTCGCACACCTATGCTGGAGCGTAGCACGCCGCCTGTACGCACGCAGCACGCCCACCTGTCAGATCCTTGACGTTTGTGAGCGTGACCTGCGGCTGTCGGCGACTGCCGGGTCGCTCATCCTCCGACACCAGCCCCTTCTTATCCATCTTAACGTCCAGCAGGAGCGGCGTCAGCGAGCCGTCCTTGTTCTTGCCGAGGCCCTGACCCGGCTCCCATCCCATCTTCTTGAGCAGCATTTCGCCCATGCCGCCGCGCACCGGCAGCGACGACTTCAGCTGGTTCTGCAAGCGGGGCGCGTTAGAACGCGGCGCCGCCGCCGGCCGCGCACACAGCACACCCGCCGAACCCCGTCCATGATGAGCCACACAGCGGTGACGTCACTGGTGAACCTCGGCCGTAAGGGCGCAGCACCGACGTATGAGCGAGGCGCGCGCGGCCCGGCCGGCCGCCGGGGCCGACTGCTGGAGCGGCCGGCGCCGGGCCCGACAGGACCGCGCCCACTTACCACCGGGACGTCTCACCGGGCCACAACGGGGGGCCAGGCCGCCGACGCACGCGCCGCCGACGCTGTGGGACAGCACTGTCGGAAAACGGCCGTCAGTTAAGCTTGGCGGCGCACGCGGCCGGCCGGCCACCACCCGCCGGCGCGTCTCTATGGGTTCATCCCCTGCAGGCCAGAAAGCCCGCACATGGTAAGGGAAGCCCAAAGATCCAATATTCAACGACTTTGCCAGGTTCCGTCCTAAGGTCAGAACCTGCTGGAAGCCGCTGGAACCGCCCAGCTCGATCCAGCACCCAATGCGCGCTGCGTGGCTAAACCCGGAACTCACCGAGCGCTGTATGACCTTAATCAGCACCCAGAGGGTGCATGAGGCCGTTGCTCCGTAGCGGGGGTGGGGCCGGCCGGCCAGCAGGGTCAGGACGCGGGTACAGAGAACCCGGCCGTGCTGGCACGGCCGGGTCCGTCTGCACGCGCCGCAACACACACGCCACCAAGCTTAACTGACATCCGGCGCAACAAGCAACACACTGACACAAAACGCCTTCCGCGGTCGTCCGCCACATATAAGCATTGAATGAAACACACAAACACGGTGAATTCTGGTCGCAAATACACAGTGATCACCATCTTAAGAAGGCCAACAGCTTTAATCGGGGCGCAGTGCCGGCCTGACCAGACTGAGGAGCAGCACGGTGTACGGACGCCAGCTGAGTAACACCTTTTTGGCCCAGGCCTGTTGGCCGGCGCTCAGCTCTGCCACCGAGAGCACGCGCGCCCCGGTCGAGCCATTGAACTGGCCTGGCTGGTGACGAGACGTGGCCCACGACTGCATCTGAAACAGGACAGCCGGACCCTTCAGCGACGTGGCCCACGACTGCACATGCAATTTTGCGGTTTTATGGACGACGGGCAAATATCGACGGTCCTTTATATCACAGAGCACACAAGTCTAATCGTGCAGGTTAGGTTCACAACTTCCGAACTATCAACACACGACAGATCTTCGATCTATCAGCGTGATATGATGATGACATGATAGTATGACACACCTCGATCAGTTCACCCCGCCTGGTCCCAGCAACCCTGCACTGTGAGCTGCGCGAGCACGATTACAATGCATGATATTTCAAGCAGTACAGGTTCCTGCTGAGGGCGGCACGTACGTCCTGCTGGGCGCTGGTTATCAGGTGCTGGGCCTCGGCGTTATGCGGATCCTGCTGCAGCTGGCGCAACGCCGTCAGACGGCGGCTCACGATCGCGTTCCAGGTCCAGCTCGGGCTCACGATCGCGTCAGGTCCAGCTTCGGTACGCAAAGGGCACACAATCAGGCGACGGCTCACGATCGCGTTCAGGTCCGGGCTTGTTTGCCCCAGGTTCAGACCAAACACGAGTTTTTGGACGCATCAGCACGAACCTCGTTCACTACCCGCCCTACTAGCTGGATCAGTTTCCCACGACTTCTCCCACTGCCCGCGGACGTTCTGGGAGCAATGCACTGCTGTACAATGTGACTCCTACGGAATAGATCACTGCTAAACCTGGATCGGGCGCGTTTTTCGCACTTTATAGACGAACTTTGAACCGCTCCTCGTATGTCATACCCAAATTCAGTCGCCACGACGGACGAGCACAACAAATGCGCACTTAAGTCCGTCGAGTACGCGACATCCGCAGAAGACAGCAAATCAGCCGGCGGGCAACATCACAGCGCGCGTCCTTCGCAGCACAGACCGAGCGTTCGACTCCACACCCTAGCGCACAGGGTGTGTATGTTGGTCGGCGGTGTGGTGGCGGCTCGGAGCCAGCGCCTCCTCCCGCCGTGCGGACTACTCACCGCCGGCCGGGGGTCGGGGAACACGCTGTCGGTGCTAACCGGCGGTGTGGCGGCGACCGGCGGTGGCTCGGGAGCCGGCGCCTCTTCCCGCTCCGTCGTCGATGGGACGACGGCGGCCGGCTGGGTGGCCTTCTCTGGCGCAGCGGCGGCGGCCGGCACCACCGGCACCCACTCCAGCTCTGGCCACCGGGCGGAGATGGGTTGGGGTCAGGGTGGTGACGGGCCGGGGTCAGGGCGGTGACGGGCCGGGGTCAGGGTGGTGACGGGGCCGGGTCAGGGCGGTGACGGGGCCGGGTCAGGGAGGTGACGGGCCGGGGTCAGGGCGGTGACGGGGCCGGGTCAGGGTGGTAACGGGCCGGGGTCAGGGCGGTGACGGGCCGGGGTCAGGGCGGTGACGGGTCAGGTCACGGCAGTGACGAGTCGGGTCAAGGCCGCGACGGGCCGGAGTCAGGGCAGCGAGGGGCCGGGGTCAGAGCGGTGACGGGCCGGGGTCAGGGAGGTGACGGGGCCGGGTCAAGGCAGTGACGGGCCTGGGTCAGGGCGGTAACGGGCCGGGGTCAGGGCGGTGACGGGCCGGGTCAGGGCGGTGACGGGCCAGGTCAAGGCAGTGACGGGCCGGGGTCAGGGAGGTGAAAGGCCCGCCGTCGCCGCCGGCGGCTCGCCGGGCACCACGTGCCGACCGTGTCGGAGGTCAATCTAACGAAGCACGAGAACAAACTACGCCGTTTGCAGATCCCACCCCATTAGCAAGCTTATCGGAAAAACTTGGCTTTACTTACCACTTTGGTTCGTGTTCATACCAGACCGGATGCATCGGTGAAACTTAAAGTTGGCGGCTCGTAAGCTCCAACAATGAAATTTAGGTGTCACGTTTGCGTTGTTTCCCATGTCATCGTGAATCCTGCACGTTTGCGAAGGAATGTGCCGGGCGACCAAGCATTAGGTGTCATTTTGACTCGTTCGCATTGTAAGTTAATCTCAGGGAAAGAATGTTTCTGAAATGAAGAGAATACGCCCTGTAAGCTAGTCCACCGCTGTATGGGGTCACCTGCTGCATGCACGGTCTTGGGTGGGCCACCGTAGTACCTTTGGAGCGAATGATCTGATTCAAACACCAGTGGATAAACTTGACCTTATTCACCATGAATCAATTAAGTTCATTTCACTTGTGACCTATGACACCACGCATCACGAAAAACACGCACAATTCGTGCATATCAACGAGGATGGGCACAACTCCTCCACCGGTAGTGGCGATGAAACCAGCAGCAGCCCCAACTACCCTGGGTCCTGACCTGACCTGTGCTGACCCTGGGTCCTGACCTGACCTGTGCCGACCCTTGGTCCTGACCTGACCTGTGCTGACCCGTGGTCCGTACTGGCCCTTGGACATGTGCTGACCCTCGGTCCTATGCTGACCCTTGGTCCTGACCTGACCTGTGCTGACCCTAGGTCCTGACCTGACCTGTAATGACCCTTGGTCTTGACCTGACCTGACCCTGGGCCCTGACCTGACCTGTACTGACCCTTGGTCTTGACCTGACCTGACCCTGGGTCCTGACCTGACCTGTGGTGACCCCTGGCCCTGACCTGACCTGTGCTGACCCTTGACCCATATTGACCCTTGGTCCCACGCTGACCCTTGGTACTGACCTGACCTGTGCTGACCCTTGGTCCTGACCTGAGCTATGCTGAGCCTTGGTCCTGACCTGACCTGTGCTGACCCGTGGTTCATACTGACCCTTGGTCCTGTGCTGTTCCCCGCTGGACACGGGGAACTGCGAGTTGAGTTTCATCACTTGCGCCTGCCTCTCCGCGTGTGATTTTACCGGCAGCTGCGGCGCGTTCTGGAAACAGGTGTTAAAAGGTCAGGCCTGGCAGTCAACGGCATCTTAAAACTCACAACTCATGAGTGTGGATGTTCTGCATCATCTGTCGCACTAGGTTTTTGTTCATGCAATCTGACAGAAAATTTGCGTTGATGCCTTTTGTTATTTTTTATCCAGAACAGCGGCAAACGCCTCGTGTCGCGTCCTTCCACCTTGCCGACTGACCCGGATCTTCATAACGATGTGGGAGGGCCGCTCGCGGACAGCGAACGGGTGGTAGAAGGCCGCCTCGTCGTCGGAGCCGGGTCGCGCGCCTCTCGGCACGGCCTCCTCCCGCAGCCGACGGCACATCTCTGCCCGCACAGGGTCAGCCGCGCTGCTGACAGGCACAACTCTGCACACGCCGGACAGCGCCGCCTCAGGTGCGACACTTGTCTGATTCAAACAGCCACGCAGGAGGCGGTGGACGGATGCCGGGCACTGCCCTCGCCCCACCCCCAGAATCGCTCAGCCGCCCATGACTTGAGCGTGCCGCCCATCACCTTAGACACGCCCGCCTGGACCTGCCAGGCTTATTTGCCCCGGCTTCCCCCCTCCCTCGTCGGGACTGTCTGCTCTCTCTCTCCCATCCCCCTCCCATTACCGCCAGCCCTCTCCGTAGCGTTCTGTCCTCTCCGGAGTGTCCTGCCCTCTCCGGCGCCGTCACGCCGACTGAGTGCCCCACCACTCCGCCTGCCCTCCCCCTCTCCCGGCCGTCACCGCCCTGACTAAGCCTGCCCCGCCGCCGCGCCGTCTACTGACCGGTGAGCTGGTGCAGGTCACGCGTGGTCTCGCGGCGCGCGTCGACAGCGGCCGACTCCAGACCGGCCGGCAGTCGGCCCTCCTCGCCCAGACGCAGCGCGTTCTGGCGCGCCACCTCCAGCAGTCGGCGCTTGTCGATGCGCTCGCGCAGGTCGGCGCGGTCCGGCGTCCGGTCGCGGGAGCGGGAGCGGGAGCGGGACCGGCGGCTGCCAACGCACCGGTGGCGACGGGTCACAGTCACCAGCGACAGCGGCTCAAGCCCGTCACGCAGGCCGCAGACGTGCCGTGCCGACGTCATATCTGAGCACGAGTGAGGGACGCCGCAGTATTGTACATACAACAAAAGAATGAACAGTTCATGGAGTGCAGCGGCCATTTAGCAGATCTACCACGGTTGGCGAGCGGTTGAATGTAATATTTCAGCATGTTGAGTCACAAGCAAACGCTCTTCCGCCTTCTGAAGGTTACATGGCATGCACGACAAAAACGAAGAAGACAAACGTGGGGTGGGAGGCACACATAACGATATCACGAGCAGGGCGGACCGCCGTCACCCCAGTCAGGCTAAGGCCTCCATGCCAAACACTTCTCCCGCCTCTCTAACGGCCCTCTGGAGCCGCGTTTACTGGTGGGGGCCGGCCGTCCGACCGGCGTCCGCCTCAGCCCCGCACCTGCGCCTGGCGCGCGCACCAGCACGGCGCCGGGACCCGGTGCGGGAGCCGCAGTCGTGCCGCGGAGAGCTTGACCTGTCCCGCCGCGAGCCTGGCCGGTCACCGCCGCCGCTGTCAACAGCGCGATGTCAGCCCGGGGTGGGCCAGCGGCCGCGCTTGGCCCCGCGCTGCGAAACTTCTCTCCAGTGCGTGGTACGCCGTCAGAAGATTCGAAACATACGACATGTCGGTCACTGGCCGTCGATGACATCGGAACTCGGACCGCACCGTCTACGTCGGTCCCTTTAAAACCAACCAAGCATTGTTCCAATGCCCTTGTGAGAGTGTATCCAAAGTGACCCTTTCCCTTCAGCAGCCCAGGTGAAGAAGCAAGGCGGCTTCAGGCGCAGGCGCAGGCACAAGATCCGCCACAATGTCACAAGTCAACGCCACCCTAGAATCCCCCACCGTTTACGCCCCCCCCCCCCCCCCCTCCCCCATGTGATATCCCTCACCCGTCATCGGCGTCCAAAGTTTGGCCGGGTGTCACTGAGCCCAAAGGCGATACCCTACCTGAAAGTCCGCCGACTGGAAGATCTGCTGCCGTCCCTGGCTCGACTGTGATGTCGCCTGAGAGTACAGCGGAGCACCGAGCGACAGTCAGAGCCCGGGCATGACGCGCCCGACGTGTCTGCGCGGCTCGTGTCTCCGCTTCAATATTGGACGTTAAACAGCCGCATACATGCAGTGTACAGCTCTACAAACATTGAAGCACATACAGGAGGTGCAACACATTTCACTTAAAATGCATCGCCGTACGAGGCCAGCCGATATTCGTGATTTCAACTTAAGGCTGTGCAACAAAAATATATAAACAACTGGCTCTAAGTAGATGCTTGAATCAAGTCCCCGAAGAACGCTAACATCCTTATCGCCAAATAAAAAGCGCACGTGACGAACCGCAATGTGTTTTGCGTGCCGACATACTGCAAAATGACTTTGGCACCAAACCAACACAATGTGCGACGTAAATAGCAAACAGGAAATCGTGAAACGACTGGTGCACGCAGTCGGCATGAATGGACAGGCACTTAAAGCAGGACCACCGCTCCATTGGCTCACCTTTTTCGGTGACTGGACGTATCATGACTTTTCTTGTGTGACTTCTTTGCCTTGCGCCCGACACCTTTAATCCTTGGTTCTTCGATTCCACTGCCAGTTGCCTCTCCTTCGCTGGCAATCTCTCCGTCGCTTTTGACCTCACCTGAGAAAAAAAAACTGCGACTGACGACCGTCTCTGCTCAGCCCCAGCGACTAGTTCTCACAACCTCAGAACGTGCAAGTCGCGGACCTCTATACGTCTACCCCTACCTTTTCCTCCTATCTCTATCCCGGTTATCCCTGTCCACTCGCTATCCGAGAAGCTGTCATAACGATCAACATTATGAGCTGTGACGCCGGCCGCCCGTCCAGTCTTCCCCTCCCTCGGCCGTCCCTGAACAGTCCTCGCCTCCCCGGCAGTCCCTGAACAGTCCTCCCCTTCCCGGTCGTCCCTGAACGGTCCTCCCTCCCCTGCTGTCCCTGCGCAGTCCTCCCCGCCCCTGCCATCCCTGTACAGTCCTCGCCTCCCCAGCCGTCCCTGTGCAGCCCTCGCTTTCCCCGGCTGTCCCCGTACAGTCCTCCCCTCCCCGGCCCTCCCTGCACGGTCCTCCCCTCCCCGGCCCTCCTTGCACAGTCCTCCTCTCTCCCGGCCGTCCCTGTACAGTCCTCCCCCCCGCGGGCCCTGTCACCGCCCCTGTGTCACCCCCTGTACAGTTACACAGTCTGCCAAGGCTGTGATGGTGTCGCCCGTGGCCGCCGTCGAGCCCCGGCCGACAGCCCACCTTCTACAGCAGGCCGACAGGGAGTCGGCGAGGAGGGCGAACCGCTGCTGGAGTCGGTCAGCTCGCCGTCTTCGTACCGCTGGGCCCGCTCGGCCTGCCGGCGGCGGGCCTCCTCCTCCACCTGACGCACCGTCTCCTCGAACACCGCGGAGTTCTTCAGACTCTTGATCACGATCCCGACGCGGCACAGCTTCGGCGCCTCCCCTGGTCAGGCAGGGCACCCGGGCTTAGCTCGGCGGCGTTGGTGACGCGGCGCAGCTTCCGCGCCTCCCCTGGTCAGGCAGGGCACCCGGGCTTAGCTCGGCGGCGTTGGTGACGCGGCGCAGCTTCCGCGCCTCCCCTGGTCATGCAAGGCACCCGGGCTTAGCTCGGCGGCGTTGGTGACGCGGCGCAGCTTCCGCGCCTCCCCTGGTCAGGCAGGGCACCCGGGCTTAGCTCGGCGGCGTTGGTGTCAAAATGGTAAAGTGAAATAATGAGTGACCCTACAGATTGCACGCTTCCCCAAAGCATGACGAGACATCCCAAAAGCATGCCCCAGTTGATACAGCATGAATAATCTGAAGCTCTCGTTTGCAGGAGGCGCACTGCTTACACTAACATATTGGTTGGTGAAATTAAATGCCCCCAGGACAAACATACCAGGATTTACTTCCTGATGCGTGAGTGTTTGCGTGATGGATGCATTGCACGTTGGAATGAAATGTCGCCGGTTTGATTCCAGCACAGGAATCTGTCCGTGGCTCGGCGCACGCGAACGGGGCGAGGCGTGTGCCATAAACACGGTGACTTGCGTCGATATTATCTGTAACGTCCGCGAGCTTAACATGCGCAAGGGTAGCAGCAAAGTATCAGAGATGGATAGATGAGATCGTCAGGAGATCACATTACTCATGAACGCAGGTCTTTAAAACCTTTAGTTGTTACCTTTAAAAGTTGGAAGGAGATTTCAGCAATCATGCACGCATAATAGTTCATAACTAGAGAAAGAGGGGGAGAGAGGGAGAGAGCGAGAGAGCGAGAGAGCGAAAACGAGGGTGGAGACAAATGTGGAAGGTGAATCTACACTTCACGGCCACGCCAAAGTTGTGTGCGGTGGAGTTCGAATTCGTTCGCAGCACTGCGGACCTGAGCTTGGGCATGGTTCCGGCAATCTTTACCGACAAGAGCTCCAACAAGCAGCTTGGCAATGTCCGACATGCTTGTCGCGCCTGAACCAACTCTAAACAGGCCTCCATCGGAGACGCTACTCTCATCTCGCAGCGGCGCAAACAAAAGCCACTCGTCTGATTCAGTGAACTAACTCTAAATAGGCCTCCATCGGAATCGGTGCTGTCATCTCGCAGTGGCGAAAACAAGAGCCACTCGTGTGATTCAGTGAACCAACTCTTAACAGGCCTCCATCGGAGTCGGCATCGATTCAGTGTTTTCTGGGACGTCTGTGTGTCTGGGTGCACATCTGCCTGGCCCGACGCACAACAGACTGATGTACGGACGCATGCAAAATGTGCACGCACAATGGCTCCGCCTTGCTGACGGTCCGCGACGACAAAAAAATAATTCTGATTACATACCAGGGTCGGCCATGTCCCTTGTTAGAGGGATTGCCAGCTGGCGGTTCAGCTGCTGTCAAGGTAGGCCACTGAATACTTGTACCACACTGTGTATGTCGGAGAAAACAGATGCGCAAATGCCAAGCCCTCGAAAAAGCATCCCAAAGTATGAGCAACTATGAGTTAAGCCCCCCCCCCCCCCCCCCATTCAAAGGAGACAGCTATTCCCCGCGGACAAAGTTCGCCGTCATCCGATGTCCCGAGGCGCGGAACGCCGCCACACGTTTCCTGGGCCCTGGTGACCCGTAAGGGCCTCACAGTTCAGGCATGGTGAGATCCACATTACCTTGTTGGAATGTGAGTGGACATGACGTCACAGGGGCGGCGCTTTGACCGCCAAAGGCGTGGCTTCATCGCGCATCGAACTGCTTGCACATGACCAAATGTTCAAACACAAAAGAGGCACTGAAATGCAAAGAGTTATCCTCTGCTTTTGCAACAACCTCTACAAATCGTTTCAAATAGCGCAGGTGCGATGACCACAGCTGGTGTCCTGATGCCGACAATACGTAAGGCTGACTTTCACCGCGACTCTCAAGAATAATGAGGACGGATCGCACGTCCTCACTCAACATCACATGTGAGGCCATTTCACACCAGCGGATACATCAGCCCCTGCGTTGACCAGCGGGTGTTGCCAGTTACCTTTGCCGGCCAGCGGCTGCGAGCCGTCGCTCCCTGGCGGAGCGGCGTCAGCGGCCGACGTCAGCGCGCCTGCGCTGGGCATCTCCACTGCTTGGTGGAGGTCCTGGCAGTCACCGGCGCCCGGGTTCCCCGAAGGCCCGGCCGGGAGTTGGAGGGCCGGGGTCGGCTGTGCGACACCGGTGGCCGGCGCGGGCGCGGCCTGCTGCAGCTGGCCAACCTGCTCCTGCCGCCGCGGCGCCACCGCCTGCCACTGGCCGATGGTCGGCGGCCGCGGCGCCGGCAGCTCGGCCGACGCGGCGTCCCCGGCGGCGGCGCTGACGGCGCGCGCCCGGTCGGCCGCTGCGCCCCTCGCTCCGCCGTCCGCCTGGCCGTCACGGCGGTGCTTGCTGACGCTCGGCGACGACCGAGAGTCACGTGACAGCCGCTTGGAACAGTCACCGTGCTCACGTGACAGCCGCTTGTCACCCCCCTCCGGCGACAGGGTCCGGCCGCGGGACGACCGCCGTTTCCGCCGATCGCGGGAGGAACGCTGGGCATTTCGGCCGTCACGAGACTTGTTAGGCGCCGAAGTCAGCGCAGCAGAACTGATGAAGGTCGCGGTAGAAGTCTCCCGATCTTTCTCCTGAGAAGGGGACCGGCTACGCCGGATTTTGCACTTCTTGAACTCTCCATCTGTGGAAGAAATGGATCGCTTCCGTGTTTTCTTTGACACATCTTTTTTATCTTTCGATTCATGACTTTTGCTTGATGTCACATCGCCATGGGATCTGTGCTTCTTTTTCTTTTTGTGCTTATGTTTGTGTTTGTGTTTGTGCTTATGCTTTTCTTTCTTCTTTCTGCCTTTTTTCTTCTCTTGTTCAAGCACGTTTTGGGGGTAAGCTAGATCATCGGGGCCAGTCTCAACTTGGTCTGATTTGGTCGAGTTTGTGTCCCCATCTGTTTCCACTTTTAGCCTTTCTGTATCAAACATTTTGAACAGCTCAGACAGAATGTCATTTGATGATTTCTCTGTTTTGACAACATCTTGCTTTGGCATCGATTCAGACATCATATAGCTCAGCACATCTCAATGGCTCATGCACATCTGGAACATAGTATGTAATCACTGCCACCAAGCAATCTCAAAAGCTGACCACAAAAGGCACCTTAGAGCATGGAAGCAAGTCATAGAGACTGATTAATTTTAGCTTCAAACATATATCCATGTGACAGTGAAACAAAGCATCAAAGGTACATTTATTATTTCCAGTTGGTGGGAAATAAGGAATACCTATCAACAACCCATATTTTGAGATTGAGGCAATAACAAAAAGAAAGCAATAACAAGACATTTCTGAATCCTGTCATTAACAAAACACAGAGAAGTGTAGGCCAAAGAAAGTGAACAATCCACCTGAGATAACATTAGAGGCTCAAATTAAAGCACTGGTAGTAACAGCAATTTCAAAGGTTGTTTTTATATGTGTTGCATCAATACAGCACACATCTACATATCAGATATGTACATTTATTTGGATCAAGTCCTTGCTACGCATAGCCTATTGCAAAAACCCAGACTCCAACACTGCAGAATGGGCCCCACTGCAACAGGTAATTGAAAAAAACATGCTGTGACCATGCAGTGGCATGACCAAATGCCTTATACCCTATGCCAGCTTGCCCCATACCAGCTTGTGTATTCATAGCTTTTTGTCTGCTGACAAGGAGGCACAGAGATATATGAACAGGGCTGGACTTTTCACAATGATGCATCCAGGTGGCAGAGCTTGGTAACAGGCAGCAGCCGGGTGCCAAGCTTGGTATCGGCAGCTGAAGCAGAATTGCTATCTGCAAGCATGGCAGCTATCCTTGTCCATATCTATCTATCAGCTATCCTTATCCACTTTCATTATCCACTTAGGTATCCACCAGTTCTCATTGGGCTTGGGCAAATATTTGGGCAAATGTAAGGGGCATTTGGGCAAAAATAAGAAAAATAGCTCAGTTTCTGAGTTTTCACATAAGAGATTCATTAAGGTGTGGTAACTCATGCTATCTTGGGACCCAAGCCAGGGTGATATAACTAACTAAGGTACCTGTCCATTGTCATTGGTACCTGTCTTAAGGTACTGTGTAACTTAAGGTACTTGTCCATTGCTGTCCATTTGCGCCAAGGTGCAGGCTGCATCCAACATCTTATCAATATATTTGGTATGGTTAATCTTGAAAAACTTTGGAATGTTTGATGGTGTCACTCAACAAACCACATATTGTCTTTATCAATGGAGAAAATGCAATATCTGATCCAGCAATTTCTTCCTGCCAGGTTATGGATGCCTGCTTAGTTCCTTAAGATTTTAGAATTTGGGTAATAATGCATTGCAATTATATTTTTCCTTATCCCTTAGGTAAAAAGATAACAGGATACTGTGGCAGCAGGCAATGTGCATGATGTGGTCTGTGTAGAGTGCTGAATAAGATGCATTGTACTTTGTTGTACTTTGGCATGTTTGTTAATTATCCACTTATTGTGGTCCTCTACATTATACTGCAGTCCTTTACATTCACTGTGATAATCATCACTGGCCATTTATTGTGAATAGTATTAACATGCATTGGAAATCACAGGGTTGTGTGGGCATTTGTCATCATTCTCGTTCCAGTGAGATGGAAAAGCGGGTCATTGCAGCATCATATCACCACTCACATGGCACTTATACCCTTTAATTTCTAACTTTTTGTGGATACCCACAACTTTCAAACCACCATCATAACAGGCCATTTTTTGGAGTCAGGACTTTCAGCTTATCCTGCAATAAATGAGCTTGTCCAGGTGAGCCACATTCTTCCAAGCCCTTGTACCTCCTGACTCGCGGCTTATGGTTGACTTCTTCCTCCAAACTTTGCGGCTATGAATTAATGCTGCCAGTAATGTGAATTGGCCCTGGCTGGAACTTGCAAGCCTGCAGAAATCTGTTATAAGTAACCGTGACCACGCTCTGTCCCTATTCCCAAACTGTTGTGCCAGCGAACGCCCACTACTCCCCCACCCTCAATCACCCGCAGGTGTCTATGAAACAAAGCTATCCAACGCTTGCATCGGATTAAGGCGTATAGCCTCCTGGGTTCGAGCGTATCTATCTAACGCCATAAAGTTAGCTGCGCCTAAAAAGACTCTTTCGCGCCATAATCCGCGGCATCACATTCGATAACTGGCACTAAACTACTGTTTGACTTAGAGTCGTATTCATTCGACAGATGTATATTTTGCTCTCCTCGCCTTGCTACTGCGCTGCTTGGCAAAAATATTTCATCAATTTAGAGTTCAATTTAACTATTGACACTACAATTACTTACAGTATTATGCAAAATACTCACCTGTTAAAGATTGTGTTAGCTTTCAAGAAGACCCTAAAACTGTCAACCAGTAATTACTTTATTTCTGATAAAAAGGAGTCTCAGAATAAGCCTGTCATTATCAATTTATAATTTTGCTTCGAAATACGCCCAATACAGCACGTGTTTGCTGATTAACCTTCTACTTCATGGGGACGCCACCACTACAAACCATGGTGCCATCTATCTTTCTTTGGTAGCGACACCTAGGCTCAACGCTCTTGAGGGAAGGCTTAACATGTCCTCTTCACACAAACAGCAAGGCATCAGGTGTGGTCAGCAAGAGCAGAACTAGGCAAAA